ATATATATATATATATATATATATATATATATATATATATATATATATATATATATATATATATATATATATATATATATATATATATATATTATTCCTGAGCCCTGCCGCTTCGGCTTGCGACAAAGCAGGGATGTTTCTATTTCGGATGTTAAAGTGCTCTTAGTCATTTATTGCCAGCTGAAAGCACCTTTGTTTACTCATGACACCTCACCACTGTCTGCTGTGTAACACGTAGTTCAAAGGGTTGAAGGAATTATGACCGAGTCAAACAAACTCTGTTGTCTCTAGGGTGGCCTCACATAGTGCTCGGCTTCCCAGACACGAGGCGGCCGTTCACGGCCACTTTTGGCACGGAGTGTCATTTACAAACATGCTTGCTTACCGTAATAGAATGACAGACAGTGCTGTCTGTGAGCATTGCGGCAGCGATAAAACCATTGCACACCTACTTTTGCTTTGTTCTCACTGCAGCTCCCTGACACAGTACCTTTCACGACTGGATGACGAGCCGCCTTCCGAGCACTGAATAACCAGGGCGTTAGACATTCACAAATCAAAGCAACAAAGGTGCTTCTGGAAGATCTACAATCATGCCTTCTATAATAATCTGACTGAGTGAGGGAGTGAGTGAGTGAGTGAGTGAGGTGAGTGAGTGAGTTAGTGATGGTGTGTGTGTGTTTGTGTCAACATCTCTTATACTTTTCCTTCTTACATTTCTGTCTCCCCTACTCCAGACCAAAGGGAATGTTCATCATCCAGCTAACTTCAGGGCCTTTGAGATTATGATTCAACTTAAGCTGAATCATAATAAGCATAAGCAAAGTAACATCCAGCAGAGCGAGCAAAGCATCCAAAGAGTGGCAATGGCGCTAAAAGCAAACATTGATATCTGTTTAAATTCAGCTCCCACTTCATTGCCATCATGTGCGCGCAACTTTCAACGGCGACACGAAAAGGGTTCTTGAAACGTGTTGGTGTCAATCTCGTGGACAGTACATGTAGTATGTTCTGACAGTATTATGATCGCGGCCAGCGCTCCTATGATTTATCATTGAATGTTTAAGTGGGGTTAATATTATAAGTGGAGTTTTATGTCCGAAAACCCCGATATGTTTATGAGGGAAGCCGTAGCTCCACACTCTTTAGAAATTAGACCATCGGGTGTTCGCAAACGTGCACTGACATCGAGCCGTACACAGTCATTTCGCCTCGATCGAAATGCGGCTGGCACGGCTGGAGTCGAGCACAGCCTGGAAGATATCCAGTGGCGAAGACTGTTACTGAATGGACTTGTTTATTCAAACACACACCTTATGCACTGGTTCAGAAAACAAAACAATGTTTTGTCTTTTAGAGACTGCGCATGCTGTCCCTATAGTAATGAAAATGTCATGCCTTTATTTACAGAGAGAAACGTGCGTTTGCGCGGAGTACAGGCACGAAGAGTCAGTTTGGTATTTCCATAACCATGTAACCTTGTTAACACATTTTATATTCGTGTAAGGTTAATATTTAGATATGTACATGGGTTCGTTTTAAATATGTTTATGTATATGCACCCTTGCATAAGAGAAAAGAAAGAGAAACAGCAGTGGGCGGCCCCAGTGGACAAAAGAACAGACTTCCTCTGCTCTGCCCGCCCTTCCCCCTTTTCGATATCTCAAACTGCAGCTGTGTATCATAGCACGAAAGCTGTGCCGTTTTTATTATAAACGGCTGTAATGTACCCTTGTTCATAAGTAGCAATATATGAAACAGGCGCTGTTTAAGTAGGCGCGCCATATGAGCTTGAAAGATTGCGGGCAGGAGCCTTTTTTGCACACGAGCGTCCGTGTGCTTATATGATAAACACTACACCCAACCACACGCTCAAACTTATGATCGCTAACACTTGAAAATAACTCTTCTGGGACCAAACTCTCCACACCAAGCACACAATAAGATACATTCATTCAGCAAATGCTGAGTGCACACAATATTTGAATTTTTTAGCATGGAGTGGTAACAACCTCGCATGCCACTGAAAATGGTGTTTCTGCTTTTAGCACTGCATACGACTTGAATATGTACATTGATGCATTTCATTATTCTAGACTTCACAGCAAAAGAAAGGGCGTTAATTTTTCTTCACCAGCATGCGCTTACTTGAGCGTCAATCATTCGGAATGATGTTGACACTGCGCGAAACCCAGCACATCTCTTCTCGAACAGACAAATATTTTTTATTGCACGTCGCCATGCGCAAACTCAATATATTTTCGTGTTGTTATTTTGGCATTTCTATTTTTTGCGCCCACAGCTTTCGACGCACGTCATTTCAACCTCAACGTGATTTTGAATCTTCTCAGCGCTGCCGGAGTAATTAGAACACTCGTTTGTAACTCCCTGCTCAGTGACAATCAAGGCATCTTCGGCTAGTAGGTGGATGCTCTCGTACGGCATAACCGAGCACTAAATGTTTAAGATCTGAATAGCCCTATGCTCGCTGAAGCACATCAGAGCTTGAGTTCTATTCTAGCTTTGTATTGTCGCAGCAAGCTATAACTGGGCGCGCGTTCAATTTCTTGTCGCCAATCTTAGTTGACCATCAGTATACGTCCTTCACGATTGCAGAATACCTAGCACAACACTAACTACAACCGAGATGCAACTAATAAAAGCAAACTATTAGAATGCTACAGCACATAGGCATAATAAAGTGCAAAGGAGTGGTCCTCCCGATCATCACAACTGAGTGGTCACATGTACAAGGAATCTGGGAGCAGGTACAAAGTAGTGCACAGCAGGCTTTCTGGGCTTCCCGTTATGGAGTCTAGGTCAAATGAAGCTTTAAGCAACTATTTAGAGGTGGTTAGTACGCTTGTGAATCTAACGGGGTCAAACGTATTTTGTTTTTGCACTGAAATGAACTTCTAAATCCATTCTTTTTTGTTACATTTTGACCAGTAGGTTTACTTTCATTTGCACTGGTAGTAAATATACGCCATTGTGATAAGCTATGTGCAATAATGCTTTTACGTCTTTATAATTTAACTGACAATCTGTCTACAGTTGTCAATGGCAATTGTCAATATTTATTTCATCCCGTATACAAAATTATCACGTTTTACTGCGTAAACAGCAAGTATGAGGAAGCATATTCAACGTAATAATGCTCGTGTGTGCATTTCATATCAGCAAGATGAGCACCCACTTATACTTATGTGCCCTGTCCCTGTCCCTTCACCTGAGCAGCCTTTTCATAGAAAGTTTATTTTTTATGAGAACTTTAAGACCATAAGGAATAATTAGAGGCCATAAATGTCATACGAGCATTCGCAGACATTTCCACTAAGCAGGCATCGCAGAATAACAAGTAACACCTGCGACATGCTTGGCACTCGAGATGAAAAAAGTTTGGGGATCGATTACTACACAAATGGGCAGCCGTCCTGATGTACCATGTACTGTGCTGTTGTTTTTCCTTTTGATACGTGGTGTGCCAATGTGTGCTTACAGCCTGCCTGCTACCTAAGAAGGTTGGTAATGTGTGCATAACTGAGCAAACATTATTTATGAAAACAACATGAAAAATAGTGATTACTCCTTTCTATAACGAAAGTTGGAATATGTAGTATACAAGCTCCTGTATTCTTCAAGTACTGAGGCCCATTGAAGAGTGGCAGAGGGATAGAGAAGAAGATATCGTGATATCTTATCAACTGAAAAAACAAAAAAAAAGTCTGTTTCTTTTTAATATTTTCTTCACATTATGTTCAGAAAAGGTGCACGTAAACTTCGAAGCCGACATCCTTTCTTGATAACTCACGAGAACCGACGCAAAACTTCATGTGCCGTACCTGCCCAAAGACGATCATCGAGTCTTCCGGCCCTAATGCCTTGACCCTCAATTGAACCACGGACATTCCTGTAGCGGTTGCTGGTCGACCACTAGCCTAGTTTTTTGGCAAGACGACTCGTGGTTTCAGGCTAGCTGAGGCGCTGAAAGGGTGGACAGCAACGTCAGGCAGAACACGTGACCCCCTTCGGTGCTTGGTGCAATCGCGATATCTCTCGTGAGCTGTCTTCCTGGTCTATCTGACAGTCTGGCCCGGCAACAACATGTACCCTCCATCGCTGTTGCTTAACCTTCGATGGGATACAATCGGATAGCTTTTCAGAATGCAGACCAAACATGCCGTCATTGTTTCTCGGTCATACAGCTCAGTGAGGTGACAACAAAATTACAGGGACCTTTCTTTCGCCAGGTAAGTGCTGTGTAGAATCGTGATCTAAATTTTTGCAGTTCTGAAACACAAACTATACGTTCGTGTCGTAACTACTTCAACAGCAGAATATATGTACGAACAGAGTGGTCAGCTAAGCACAGTGATGCAAGCCGAACTGTCGGGACACGGAGCTTCGAGCGGTGCATCGTTCACTCCACGCGCTGCTTTAAACTTAAGACACTGTTTAAGAGCGTACAAGAGCGGTTTTCATGGGCACTTGTGTCAATAGCGTGCAGCTTGCGACCCTATCAGAACGTACGCAGTTTACGTCACCAAGAAAATAGTTCCAAAGAGACAAAAGTACGACGATGTTTTTGGTTAAACTGCATCGTACATTTTCAGGCATTAGAAGTGAACATGAGAACATAACCACCATATGTATACTTGGGTGAAGCACTGAGACTTGTATTGTGTTGTGCTTATATGCACGAGCTAGACTCTGTAGAATGGTTAATAAAGAAGACATATTTACAAATATACAAAGCGAGACGCATTCAGTGCTTACTCTCAAATCAACTGATTCCTCGATCCACGCATGTTACGTGTTTTTCTAATAAACATTTCATGATATCAGACCACACATCTGATTCGCTCATTTTTCCTACGGCCTGAAAACAACTCCGGTGTCCATTGGTTCTCGATCAAACCTTATCTTTCAGCCTGAGTTTTGGTAACATTGTGCACCTCAGTGCACTCTACCGTTTAAGCAAACTTATTTTCTAATTGTGGTTACCACCATCCACCTGTCATTCCGCCGCCGAAGCCGTGTCCTCCTCCAAAACCCACCATTCCCCCACCAAGACCACCGCCATACCCTCCACCTCCGCTGCCCTTGAGGACCACAATTTTAGAGCTGGCAGCATGACTTCCAAAACCACCACTTTCGAGGCCTCCCCCGTAACCACCGCCAACACCGAGTCCAGATACGATTCCGGGGCTGTAGCTTCCTCCGCCGTAGCCAGGTGAGATGGCACCGCCGAATCCGCCGCCGCCGAATCCACCACCAACGTGCGCTGGCTTGACTATGTACGCTGGTCCGACCGCATAAGCCTGGCCCCCTCCGCCGCCGCCGCCACCACCATAGCTTCCTCCTGATATGTAGCTCGTTCCTAAACCAGCGCCGAAGCCGGGTCCAAAGCTTGATCCTAATCCTCCCCCGTAGCCGCCACCACCGAATCCGCCGCCTCCAATTCCTCCGAATCCACCGCTAAATGCTCCTGGAATTGTGCAGCATACGGCGGCCAGCAGCTGCAAATAAACAAAAGAGAGGGAGAACATCCCCTTGATGTTTGCTCTGGATACATACACATTTAGACTTTACTGTTTGATTGGAATATGTATAGCAAACTATGATACTGTGTTCTGACCAAGACCTTGTGGCTCACATTAGGCTTTAATAAGCTGCTATGCGTCACTGAACAAAAATAAAAGGCCAACCGAGTTTTTAGTGATTGTGCCCGAACTTTCCTACTTGCTTATCTGGTAATAAACTGTATCTTTGCTACTACGTACCTACGTGAGCAAATTGTAAAACTAGTATTGCACCATATTCTCGTTCTTCCAAGCATTATTGAATGCTTTCTTGCAGAGCTGCCGAAAAATGCTTATAATAAATTATAGAAAAATGACCAGGAAAACTTTAATAACTTGGTTGGCTTTTTGCGCTTCTTAGTACCATGATGAAAGCTTACAAACTCGCCAAAGTAAGCGTTCTTCTAAACACAACTATAAGTACAGTTTGCGTGATGTGATAATAATAATTCTTCTTATCCCCGTTTCACCGCGTCAGCATTATTCTTGTTGCCATGCAGCAAAATTAGAACTTTAGCACTCAATTCGTTTTGATTGGCAAAACGAATAGAAGTGTTTCAATTGAGTTTTGGTTTCAAGCAAAGAAATACCGAACAAAGATAAAAAGTAACTTGTCAACTAGCCTGGTTGAGGCTATTTGGCAAATATCCTGGAAATCAAACCAAAGAAGGTTTCTGTTAATACTCGTTTCTTCTAACTACCTTGCTACAGCTACTCGCACGTAATGTATGTAAATAAGACAGTAAAACGAATACTAACGGCGATATTGTGTAGCCTTAGGTCAATTCAAACGCACGAGAAGCCCTGTAGTCTGTTACTGAGTAACAGACAACAATTCAAGCTTGATGGCTGGGAGCCTGCTTTCGGTTTCGCACATTATGTCCATCTCATCGATTTGACAAAAGATGTTTGAGCAAAAAAAAAAGCTTGCCTCGCTGTTTGGTAAACACTAGTGCTGTAGGGGGCACACTGTGCTCACCATTGCGAAGCACTTATCCATTGGCAGTGAGGAACCTTTCAACTTGCCCTCTTTCCACCAATGCACTGATTCAATCGCATAGCATACTCTCAGTTATCAGAGACCAGACACAACCCAGTAAGCTAACAAGTTTGCTGTTATCAATATCTAACAGATAGGTTATGTTTGTCTCTCCCTGAAAAGCATCCTATGGCGCTTTAGTGAGAAAAACACTCGTGCACTTGAACCAAATATAAAGAATGAATTTGCAGGATTCCTCGCAGCACAAAATATTAAAAAAAGTCTAAACTACATATCGCACTCTGGAAACCATCGAACATCGTGAATGGCACGCTCAACGGAGGTGTAGCGCCAAGCGTATCATTCAGCGTATTGTAACGGGTCTCATCCAGCACCGCATCCTTCACTCACCAGAACGAGGGTCATGGCTACGCGGCGTGCTTTCACTTTGGTCAGGTTCACTCCAAAAGAGGCACTGTTCGCAGCCAACCTTGGGCCAGCTGCTTTTTATAAGCATGGCGCCAGTGGCTGACCCTTTCTCTCATCGCCAGGCATATCCTCCTCGGCAATAGAGGAAACAATGGGCTACTGCTGTGAGGATGCGCTTATTGCAGCCCAAACAAGAAACTATGGGCGAGCAGCATCGCCACACATGGCGCCTTCTCGCACCGCAGACCGTGAACCGGTCAGCACACACCGCAGTGCTGCAAGAGTACGCGGCCCATAAGTTGCCCTCCCCCTGAGACTAAATAAATGGAAAAGCGTGTGGCCAGAAACAGCACCCCCTCTGACCGGCGTCCAACGCGAATCATGGCCTAGATTTGGGAATGGCGCATACGACACGGCCAAAAAGGATGCACCGCTACAGCGTTCTTTGTTTCGTACCAGGATCTCCTCTTTCGCCACGGCGGTGGAAGAAGAGCTGAATAATGCGGCGCTATATTTAGCGAAGAAAACAAAAAGCGAAACATAAATAGAGCAGAATCGCAAGGCAGATGAAGCGACCACGCGGAGAAAGTGGGCTCGGCGTAATGGCTGCCCAGGCTCGCTTTCTCTCACGGCCGCCGATGGAGGGACATATGTTGTTGCGTCGTCGAGAGGATCTGCAAACAGCAAATGCTTTGACCCTCGATCGTGCCGTGGACAGTTCGGGTTTGCCTCCGCGAGGAAGCTCCTCGCGCGCTCAGGTTGTTCACCTTGAAAAGTGAACGCGGCGGCCGTAGAAAGGAAGCTCGATCCGACACTCCTTTTGTGAGATCGGCTACGCACTCGACGGGAGTGGATTGTCGTGCTGGTTTCTATCTTGGAGGCGGCGCACGCTCGTGCGACCCTGGAAATCGCTTTGCCCGTCCATTGTCAAGGCTATCGCAAATAGGAGAGTGCCTATACACAGCGCAACGTACGCTCATCCGCTGATAGCCGGTTTCCTCTTGTTTAATCTGGAACTCGATTGTCATTTGAAATATTTGTAACCCTTTGTTTCTAGTGTCCCGCACAGACGGCCACTAACGGTCGGAGTCGCATTCTCATGGGCGGCAATGTATACTTCCTAGTGCATCCCTCGAGTCTACATCTGAGAATTAGGGCAGTAGCTAAAGGTGTCCGAGTGGGCTGTTCGCAAGCAGTGGTGATGGCATTGTTTCACCGAATGCGCAAACAGAAACCGAGAAGTTTTAGTTCGGTGTGGGAGCGAGGTTTCGTACTTACGTGAGTTCCTAACCTAAAAACACATTTCAATACGCGAACATTATATGCATGCATGCATACATACATACTGGAACATACATACATTAATACTCGCGTATTCAAACATATAAGCACCGGCTACTACTTTTAACAGGTAATGGGGTGCTTTTGTGTAGTTCTTCCTTCGATTCTATTTCCTTCTCATTGATGCTTGAGATAGTTCAATATTAACTCTCGCAAACAGAGTTTTTCATTTGAATAGTTTCCACTTCTGATACTTGACTGATTGTAGCTACGTTCACCCTGTTGCCTGTTCACCGGGCAGATTTTTTTTTACGGGGGACTACACCACTTGCTAGCGAACTATCTTTTTGAGCTTTGGTACCGTCTTTCGAGCTCGAGTTTTTATTTGAGAGCACTATCTATCTATCTATCTATCTATCTATCTATATATATATATATATATATATATATATATATATATATATATATATATATATATATATATATATATATATATAAGGGAAAGAAGTGTATACCTAAGGGCTCGTTTTTCCGTGTTTTAACACAATATTAATGAGATATAACAGACAGTAATGCCAAGGAATGTACAGGGGAAGTTATTAGAACCAATGGAATGTAAATAAGAAGAAAGAAAAGTGGATGAAAAAATAACCAGCCGTGAGCAGGAATCGAACCTATGACCTTCGAATAACGCATTCGATGCTCTAACCACTGAGATACCACAGCGGCCTTCCCTCCATCCACTTTTTTGGGTTTATATGTGAATTTAGAAGTAGGAGTGACAGTCAGCGCCATCTATAAGCCAAACAGCGAGTGTGAAAACACTCTTATGCGCATGTTTGGCGTCACGTAGCACGTGAACTTATTATGAGCGGGCAGCTGATTAATTGTCCCTCTTTATACAACCTAAACACACCAAGTCTGGCAGTACGAGACCCTCGTTCAATGAAATAAGGGAAAGAAGTGTATACCTAAGGGCTTGTTTTTCCGTGTTTTAACACAATATAATGAGATATAACAGACAGTAATGCCAAGGAATGTACAGGGGAAGTTATTAAAACCAATGGAATGTAAATAAGAAGAAAGAAAAGTGGATGAAAAAATAACCAGCCGTGAGCAGGAATCGAACCTACGACCTTCGAATAACGCGTTCGATGCTCTAACCACTGAGCTACCACAGCGGCCTTCCCTCCCCCCCCCCACAGATATATATATTATATATATATATATATATATATATATATATATATATATATATATATATATATATATGTGTGTGTGTGTGTGTGTGTGTGTGTGTGTGTGTGTGTGTGTCTGTGTCTGTCTGTCTGTCTGTCTGTCTGTCTGTCTCCTTAGCTCCTGGACCGCATTCTACCTACACTTATCTGCAAGGAATATATTTCATTGGCATTTCTATATATTAGTCACGTCATGTAATCGTATTATATACATGAAAAGGTACCATCGGGATCCTAGGTTGGTCGTTTCATTATCTTTCTATGCTGTAAGAACATGTATACATAACGTGAGTGGATGACAAACATAATTGACAGATCACGACATAAACGTTTGTTTTTCTCATTTCTCTTATAATAAAAATATATAAGCTCTCATGGCGTGATGAATACCTCGCCATTCTATTAACAAGACGCACACTCGCATGGGCATTGATAAATGACAAACACGCAGCATTGAATTCATAATCATACGTGAATGGCACAAATCATAATAAGTTAATTTAGCCATTCTGTCAGCGGAGATAATCCAATGTGCATTGGAAAGCACAAACGACATGAGAATATACCTTGACATGTACCGCATTTACTTGCATATAGGTAACACCATTCACAGGCTGAAGCTCGATAATGCTTATACGAAGCATAAGACGACGCAGTCTGACTCCTTCGTACACCACGCGTATTGCTCGGGAGGACTTCAAACTTGACCTCTCTATTCACGCGCGTTACGAGGAAGAACTACAGAATCTGATGGCAATGCGGCATGATCTTGGTGGGGCGGCACCTTCTCCGTCTATGGCAAAACAGCGTTTTTGGGATGCGCAACACAAACACCTTGTTGTTGTTTCTTACCTGGACTACTGACCGCAACAAAACTTCATGCAAGACTCTTTTGTATAAATGCTTGTTTGCGACCATACGTATTATTTGTGGTGATATGATGATTCTGTATATCACAGTCATCCCCCGACACTTGGATTAGCAAGCCAGGTAATAAAGCAGTCTAAAACATACGACAATGTCATTATCTTTCTCTATACAGGTGTCCAACTTTCATCATCTATTATGGTATAATGCCAGGATTTGGGAAGATAGCCAGAGTTAGCACCAATTTGCCACTATTGGCTAGTGGTAGGTAACTGCCAGGTAGGGGTGCCTAGTGCTTTCCAATGTTGGATGTGCGGACTACTGCTATACTATGTTAAGCGGCGGCTTTGTCTACCACCGATTATAGTGTTGCCTAACTATCCGATGAAGTTGACTAATGTGCTAGTGCTTGTTGATGTTGGCTAATGCCAGATTGGAACTCGCTGATATTAACAAACTGTCGGCTTGCACTGACTAGTGTGGATAGTTTTAGTTAGGCGTAGTTCTGACTTTCACTGGATAAATGCCCTCTATTTGCTGCCAAGTGGTGCCTTTTAACAGCAAAGCTGTCTTAGCTCACCGTAATTTGTGAGGTGTTCCGAAAAACCACAGGTGGGTAAGTGCCACAGGAATTGTACAAGCCGCACTACCAAGTACAGCCAGTGCGAGGTACCGACGAACTCGTCATACATGTGTGTGTGTGAGAGAGAGAGAGAAGATAGAGGGATAGAGAGAAAAACAAAACAAAAAGCTATACAAAGAAAGAGAAAGAGAGGGTGTGTTATACTCTCCGTAGACGACTAGATAGACGGCAAAATGGACGGCGGCCATCAAAAGTCACAACTCTATTCTCCCGTAGCCGGCAAAATAGACAGCTCCGAGAAAACGGCATCGCAGAGAAATACAATGCAGGCTACTTTGCTGTCCAAACAAGATGGCGGCTCAGCGAATCACTCAGATAGATCGGATCTCACCAGAATGGTCGTGTGCACACAAGCAGACGCTTCTCCAGACGCTGAATGTCAGTAACGTTTAATTTTTTTCCGCGCGAACTATGCCAGAAAATACAACAGTTACGTTTGTTTACCTTTGCTTTCTCTTCCCGACGCGAGGTGGTGCATCATCACGTAAAAGCACAGGCATGAGCTTTTACGCGTGTTCCATTTCTCGGACAGCATGGTCTTGATGCTTTCTTCTAAGCTGTCTGCGTAGACTGTGTACGATGCTGTCTAAGAACTGGAACACGGCCAGAGAAACAAAGTGAATTAAGACATTAAAGCATAGCAAGACAGAAATAGAGAGAAAAAATATTGAACGAAGTCGAAAGAGAGAGAAAAAAATAGTGTGAAAAGAAAGAAATAGAAAGGGAATAAAAAGAAAGATGTAGGATAAACACAAAGAAAGAGAACAAGGAAAAAAGCAAAGAGTAATAAAGGAAGGCCACCTTGCTCAGCTCTTCTTTCAGGCTTAGCACCATTAGCGCGAAGCTGTCATAAGTTTTTTTTTTTTTTGTAACAGTCACGTAGTGCTGGCTATCTGGTCCAACATCACTATAGTAAGCATTTTCTGTAATAGTTCCATCCCTTTAACCTGGCATTGCCAGGCTTCACA